TGAAGCAATGAGCATGAAACTGAGCAAACTCAGTGAGGCAGTGAAGGACAGGAAGGCCTGGCGCAATATGGTTCATGGAGTCACGAAGAGTCGGACACGACTTAACGATTGAACAACAAAAATTTAGAAGAAGCCAGAGAGGGAACTCATAAAGAAGCTTACAACAAAACCGTAGGCTTTTTTTCCTCCCTCTGGGTTCTTCTGAAGTATCTCTTGAAAGTAGCTATGTCAGGTTTGCACAAAGTAAGCACTAGAAAGCAAACTATGGTGGAGCATGTTTGTAGCTAAACAGCAGTTGGTGTGGGTTTGTTGTGCCAAAACAATCACTGGATGTGATAAAGAAGAAATGAGAGCTTTTAAAAACAGCTGATAGAATAAGTAGCATTGGAAACTTCAGTTGAATTGCAGCTTATAAGCTTATTTGTAATTTTGAGGGGATGGGGGGGTTTTTTAGTAAACTCTGCCCACCTCTGCTAATTTCTGTCACTTTTCTTTCTCCCCTCTCTTCTTCTCTACCTTTAACAGCCAAAAATATGTCCACTGAAGATCCAAGAAACCCTGTTATTTTCAACATGTAAGGAATCATGACTGAGGAACCCAAATTAGCAAGGTGGAGAATTTGTATCTCTGTATACAGTGCTAAATTACAATTCACAGTGACTACAGCCAGTGTGGCCAACAGTCAGAAATGTTGGGTTTTAGCTAGTCCAAATTAGCTAGGCCTATTTCACAGAAACCTTCACATGCAGGGAATTTAAAAATGGTTTAGTGGCCCCTCCACACAATGAATGATTCACATCCAGCAGCTTGTGAGTTTTCTGCATGTGGCCATAAATTTAGACTCTGGCTTGTTAGTTTTCATGAATGCCTTGCTCTATGCATGTAATTTTAAGCAATTATCAGAACTACCAATGGCATTTTATGTTAATAAAATGGGGACATGCAACAAAGAATAAAAAACAATGTAAAATAAGCAAGGCAAAACACACTTTAATTTTTTAAATTTCATACCTCCAAGATTCCTCTCTTTTTCTTTTCTTCACTATCAGTGCACCCTGTTATAATGTGGTAGCAATCTTTACAAACTTTGTTCAGTTTATTGCCATCATACTCAAGATGAGCTTTATAATCAGAACATTTCCAGCAAACCACCTTAAGAAAAATAAGGAAAAACTGAGTTATTTTGGACATCAGTTTGCTTCCAAATATCGCTTCCAAACCAACACCATTTGTCATGGTGAGATTTTTACTAAAGGATTAATTTTTACTATTATTAACTTATTCTACAATCATAGCAACCAAACATGAACTTCACCCAATCTTGTTCTAACACAGGGCTCCTCAGGCATTTAGCACCACCACTCAAAGACAAACATAATCAAAGACCCACAAAAGAAGATAAGCATAATATTAATTGACCCTTAACTCTCAGTTGGGAGAAAGCTGTAAGTTAACCAGCTCTCTGTATCATGAATATCCCTATCATGGTTAATACAGGAATCCAAAAGTTTGTTTCTGAGCATAAGAACATAAGTACTTGGCAGTCAATATGTATATACCAAAAGGACTGTGTAGAAAAATTATAAATACATAACTCAACATCTAAGAATTACACAATTAAAAATATCAGAGAAATAAAATTCTTCTAATCAGAGATTAAAATTGGCACCCTGAAAAGAAAATTTCCAAAGACAACCTGACATCAGTTGAATGATTGCAGATTATCAGTTGAAGGCTCAAATACCCCATGACAGCTCAGAACAGAGATCTGAGAGGGGTCACCATCAAGGCAGTAAAATGAAACTCAGTATGATTATTTTAACATTCAAGTTGCCAAAAGGAACCATTTACAAAAAAGTTTCCTGCATTGTCCGTAAGGGGGCGCAGATTTGGTTCACGTGTGGTTCACAGATTCTGACTTCCTGCCATGGCAAGTGTCAGCTGAAACAAAACAGCATTTAAAAGCAATCACCAGATGGAGTTTCTGAACAAGTTTTTGGCAGCTTCAGCAACTGTTAACCAGCAGATGTGGCTTTGTGCTTACATGCCCACAAGCTCGGCAATGATGTCTCCTCCTTGTTAGTGCATTAAACGGCTCCTTGCATTTCATACACATAGTCACTTCATTGTCTCGGATCCATCTTGGGGCTCTCTTCCCGAGCTCGGCAGTCTCAGAGGAGAAAAAATAAATCGTGGAACGTTATTAGCAGAAAAGGAAATTAGCTCTCCCTCTGAAAAGCCAGTGGGATGACAGGCTAATCTTAAAACTAAATGACATGTGGGATGCTACTATGAAAAACAGCTGCATATCTAGTACTGAAGGACACTCAGAAAAACAGTCTGATGTTTTGTATTTCCCTTTGCTAGCCATAACCAAATCCAGGGACGTAGGAAAAGGCAGGGAATGCCAAAAATTAAAATATCCATACACAAATAAGTTCTACTAGCAATTAGGGGAAAAGAAAAGTGAGATGGGCGGCATAGATAAATTTGAAAATAAATAAATTAAATTAATAAGTAAATAAAAAAGAGAACGAGAGATTTGGATTCTGACTTTCATGGCAGCTGTGTATCTACCCCATAACTGCAACAGACTTTAAACCAGAAAGGGATATTTGAATGGGCATGGCACTGTTTCTGTGTGCAAGAAGAGGCATAAAGAGAATTTCTGCAGAGATCAGAATATAGTAGGAACAAATGGATTAACCAAAAAGACACTTATGTTGTATGATGATTAAAAATGAAGTCTAAATTTAAATGTGCTCTTATGTTTTGTTTGTTGACTGAATAAAGAAAAGACTGTGATTATCATTGCATTTATCTCTCTTGCATTTCTTTATGTCTCCCTCTGCAGCTCTTTGAATTTTCCCTACAGAAATGCCAAATATTCCAAATATTATGTACTATCCTTTGATTTAGGTTTTTTTTTTTAAATAATGTGCAATAGAAAAAGGAGTGAAAATTGCTTGAGTAGGTAGTCACACAGAATTTTTAAAAGAAAAGATAAAACTCTTGTAACTCTTGTAATGACTGAATGGTAACTGGAATGAAAAGTTTGTAACACATTTGTGCTGGTTAACAGGCGATTGTCACACAATGTTTGTCTGCTCTCACAGTCTTGACTTTCACATCATGAAATAAAATCATGTCCAAACTGAGAAACCATGTATGGTCAGAAAGGAACTGAGTTACTGCAAAAACATGATCACCTTTACTTGCTTCTGATCATAGCCATGATTTAAAGATCTTTGTAGCAGCCATTCCCACCACCACCCATGTATGTAGGGAGGCATTTCAACGATTCTATTATATTCTTCCTCTACCTGGTACTTTTCTTAATTGGTCTTTCTTTAACTGCCAACTCCCACTAACCAAAGGAAGTGTTCTTCGCTCAGAATAACTATTTTAATTAAGTCAGGGAATAATTCTCATAAAGACTAGGCAGGGGAAAGACAAATACACAATCAAGAAAAAGACTTTGTAATAGGAATACACGCAAATATTAACATCAAAGAAATAATCTACTTTAGAAAAATCTACTTCAGAGTAAACAGGTTCACACAGATAACCAAGAGAATAGACAGTTTGAGGAGAAGAAAGTGGACTTGGTAAAGCAATGGGATAACCTTTTGCTCATACATAATAGGACCCCTATAAAAGACTGTTTTTTCTTGGTAGTAATAAATTGGTAAGTTATAATAAATCAGTCTGGAATTGAGGCAGCCTTATACATTGAAATGATTTATAAATAAATACTTTTGCCATGTAGATGACAGACACCGCTTTGTCCGTGCTACATTTGACTCATGCTATCTTTTACCTCTCCCATTGCTCCTGCTTCTACGCTCCCCCTTTTTTTTCTCTTTCTTTCAGCAAATTATACTATCCCCTGGATAGACATCTCTGTAGAGTACTATGCATACTGACGGCATTACAATTCTGCTAATAAAAACATGCCCATATGAGCATTTACATGGCAGAAAGGTCATTCTCATGGCGGTGTAATCTGTTTCGCAAATTAATACTAAGAAAAGAGGCATAACTGGGACACAGCATAACCGCACAAGCTTATTTTTAACATTTCCTCATATAGATTCTTGAATTAATATCAACAGAGAGGAGCGTACCCCACCCAAAAATTACACTCAACTTACAGAAACTTCAATAGGCATGTCATCATATTCTTTTGCAATTGCATTTCTGAATGTTTCATTTCTTTGCTGGAAAGCATCTATAGTACTCTGAAGAGCCTGGAATCAATGAAATGGAGAAAAAATATCAAATTCAACAGAAGAGTAAATTATTGAATGCAGGACCAAAACGAACTCTAGAGATAGACCCATGCTTGATTACAGTAACTAACTTTTTAAAGCAACAAACACTGGAGGTTTAATTTCAGAAGAATCACAACAACAATAGCAACAATCCCCACAGGAGTAGCCATGTTACCTAGCTGCACGAAATACATCAGTCTTAATATATTTATCGCATCTTTGGATATAACAAGGCAGGTGTATTTACCTTTATCCATTCTTCTTTGTCTTGTTCAGAACTAAAGAACACAGTTGGAGATAATTGTTAAAAACACGTTCAGAAACTGTTAATAAACTAAAGTCATTTTACACAGCAAGGCATACAAATGCTGACGCATATAAAAAGGCACCTAATGAGAAGACCAAAAATGTCTAATTACAAGAAGAAAAAATGGGAACCTGGATTCAAAAGCTGATGCCTTTCAACTGTGCATGATTACGTTTATGTTGAAGTATGACTCCTGAAATGTGGCTCATGATGATATTTCTAGCTCAGAGATCTGCCCCCTACCCCCTGCCATTTCACCTGTATATATACTAGAACAATGTCTCTAATGCAGTATGTATGCACGTATGAATGCAAATTCCACTTAGACGTCACAAATTGTTCTGGTCAATTTAGGACTGAATTCCTCCCTTCTCTAATCTTCCCTTCCACTCTCCAGAAATAAAGCCATTTAAAGCTGTAGCTATTAATCTGAATTGTATTGAGGAGTGAACTGTCACCACGTATATAAAGTTTTCCTGCCAAATTGAACTCCACAACTAAACCTAATCATATGAATTTGTACACTGCCTAGTGTGCATTGTTCAAATCGCCTCTAAAAGCAGATTTGGAAAAGAAGTTCCTTACTTTTCATCAGCAGCTCACTGACATAAAAGCCACTTAGCAGTTTCTTTTCCATTCCTCTCCCCTCTCTGAAGTGTATGCAAGTTTGGGCTCAAGTGATTCCTTCCCAATTATCAAGTCCTCTCTAGTGATACATTATCAGTTCCACTGCAGATGACTAAATGTACCATAGGGTAGTCTGGAAATTAGTGCTCTGGTGCTTTCAGTTTCCAGAATTAAGGGCTGTGCAGAACTGAAGGCAAAAAGATGGTTGGGAAATGCAAGGATCCCAACAGAGCACTAGGCTACACATGAAAGCTGCTTTATAGAGTTGCAGCAGGGATTGTGTTGCACCCAGTACTTCCAAAGCATCATTTTGTCTTCAGATAGTCACACAATCAAAGGGATACCTATGATTATAGGAATGCCTATGTGACATTATATTTTCTCTAAGGACATCGATAAAGGAAGGCAGGGCTGTGACCTGCTTCTCCTTTCATTGCTCACGGAAGCAGAGTAACTACTAAACAGACCAATGGCTACACTTCCATGACTGCAGACTGTTTACCTGCGTGATAAAAATAAATCTTATCATCCGTGTCAACTCCTAAAACATGGGAGTTCTAGCAGGAAAATACTCTGGACATTTTAAGACTCCGAAATACAGACAAAGGCTGTATAAATTGATCTAATCCAACTCGGTTCCTCACTGAGTTGCAATAATGGCTCTGTAAGATCAACAGGAAGCAATCATCTTTATAACAAAATGCACCTTATAACCACAAGCATCAATTTGCACTCTAGTGGAATCAAACAAATACAAATTCTTCTGGTAAACAAAATCCTTAGGGCAAGCTAATGAAATTTTTATGGGGATGAAGAAGATTATCAGTTTATCAGTCTAAGGAGTGTGCTCAATAACATAAGAAGATGAAGCTAGTATAACAAGTATTTATCTTGCATTCTCATTTATGCTCATTAAAAAGCAGAAGAGATTATGTACCATGGAATGGACCCTAAAGAATCTCTTCACATAATAGAGACAAGCATCCTACAATCCACTGATTATAAATAAACTAAACAAACATGACTATTCATGATTATTCCACAGTATTTAATATAAACTGAATTCAATTAACAGCATTAACTACATCTAGTATATTTCTTCAATCTACCAGAAGGATTTGTTTGGTTTCAATAGTGGAATGTTCCAAATCGTTTTTGTAATTTTACACAGGGTATTCTGGGATCTCTTTAGGCCAGATATGTTCTCAAGCAGGAATCTTAATCACTTCTATTCAACATTTCCATTGAAATTGAACATTCATCTAAGAGAAAGTTCTACTTTTTTGCATGCAACTTAATATAACTGTATCTAACTGTGACCTGGCAAGATTAGAGGAAAAATTAATTATGGCATGGAAGTCCCAAGACCTGGACGTATGGTCCATTACACCCCCATGGTTCTGTCCTATATAATTTCTACTGCCATAATTTTGAGATTGTATCTGGCCAACTGAGATACAAAATATGGAAAGAAACACAGAGCCTGGCTCTGTAAACCTATCAATAAACCTAAGATAATATTCTAGTTTCAGCAGAAAGTGGTATTTGTGAACATATTCATTGCATTTTAACTCTGAATCAATAAAGCTAAGTAACTATGCTGAAGTACATCCTGCTGTCTTCTGTGGTTAGTGTGTCCACCAGGGATAGATATCATAAATTGGTTTAAAGCAGTGTTTTTAAACTTGGCAACTTTTAAGATGTGTGGATTTCAACTCCCAGAATTCTCCAGCCAGCATCCTGGGGAATGCAGCCAGCATGCTGGCTGGGGAATTCTGGGAGTTGAAGTCCACACATCTTAAAATGGCCAAGTTTGAAAAACACTGACTTAAAGCCAGCATCTCCTTTCAATCGGGCATTTCAAATTTCAGTAAGGAGAATGAAAACCTCTGCTTTCCAAATGCAAATCAGATATATTCCAGTTTTCAGTAACTTTATTCCAGGATTCTAAACCTTTTACTTTAGTGCTACTATGCTTCATGCAACAGTCTTAAACTCACTTCTTACCTGGCCTGTAACTCCAAAGTTCGTTCTTTCCCAGACACTTGGAAAGTGTGTGGGTATTCTTCATTGTGGGTTTCTACAATCTTCATACCATCTATGCCTACTCTTGTCCGGACTGTGAACTTAGATCCCACTAAGCTGAATTTTGGGACACAGTACAGCAACATGTTATTGAACTGGAAAAAAACAACAACACACCAACAGATATTAGTCTCCACAATTGTTATTAAATGGGTTATATTTTTAAAAAAACACCCACTTTCCAATGTGAAAGATGCATATTAGTGAAAGAAAAATAAAATAAAAAGAGAGAGATTCATTAATATGTGCTTAGCTGTTACTAATTATACTACAATCCTCCCAGGATGTTCACTCAGTTGTAGAAATGTTACATCTGCCAGTATACAAAATAGGAATTTGAGAAACTAATAAACAAAGGATTAAAGTAGTGAAGCCATTTTTATTTTTATTTTTACTTTTTAAAAAAAGTTCTTTGGTTTTGAAACCCTTAGTACAGAAAGAAGTTTCTTGGCTAGAAACTGATTTTGAGCGCAGAAAGTGTGAAATATTTTCTGAGAGCATTTTTAAGGACAGAAAAGGATTCTCAAGATTGTTCTGAGGGTTTAAGCCACATCTGTGTTACCTTAACTTTTTGCAGAAGTTAACTGGCTTCAAACTGAATCTGGCTTTAAATATAAACATGACCTTTAGGAAGAAGGCTGGAATACAAATGTAAAAACTTGCTTTCCTCTTCACAAAAGACAGAAAAAAATAGTTGGAAAAATACTGTTGAAATTAACAGAATTAATTTAAGCTTTTCAGTGGGGACAAGACGTTCTACTTAAACACACCATTCATTACTTATCCATTCAAAGGTAGGTGCCAAGGGATTAAGAGAAGCTAGCCTGGGAGACAGTGGCATAACAATCCTTTTACTAATCTAGTACTTATTTATTTGAATTTATTAGCCCCGGCCCCCCACTCCAATGGAAGAAACACAACACTGGTTTCTTGTCAACCTCCACTTGCAAATCAGGGAAGTCTCCTTTCTCAGTATAAGTGCCCTTTATCGTTATCAGCTTAACCACGTTTCAGCCCTTTATTTGCATCAACATTAGCCCTAGTTAGGATTAACCATGGTTCCTGGGCCTGTCTGAGGTATAAGGCTGCTTAGGAGGGAGGCATGTTCATATTTAGCTCTGATTCAAAAATTATGTTAAGAACAATTAAGAACATTGGCTGGTGTGGGTCTTCCGGGCTGTGTGGCCGTGTTCTTGAAGTTTTGTTTCCTAATG